TGCGAGAAGACCCTTTCATCCTCACCTACAGTCACCTCGGTGTTGAGTGATTGGAAGAAGAGAGTGAAGGGAGAGGTTGCACCCGACGATGTACCATCAGGACATCCAACCGAACAGCCTAAGAAGAAGAAGCAGAGAGCGTCGCCCACTCCAGATAGAAAGGTCGACAGCGAGTTCAGGCGCAAAGAAATGTTAAAAGCAAGGGTCGTGACAATGTTCGACCATGACGGATTCACCTTGATCGAAAGTGCTGATGGAGTCGAAGGAGGACCACATTCCTACAATGGGCGGAAGCTTGTGGAAGCAGGCCCTAAGGATATGAAAGAGGTGTATGAATTTGTCGAGAAGGCATTTGTGCACTCCAGTTCCCTCACACCAAAGGCATGTCATCACTTCTATCCCCTACCAACACGGAGGGAGAAGGGATACAAGCCGATCGACCCCATGACGATGGTCGGGAAAGTTGAACTAGTACCGATCAACGGAGTCACTTTCGCTGCAAAGAACTCCGACTACGGCAACCACAAGTATCCGACTCCAGACTGTCGAGTACGTGAATACAGCCAAACGAGCCAGGCCCTGAGTCGTCGATTGGGAGCGAAGTTGAGACATCGAATTGGACGCCAGTTCAGGACAGGAGGAAGACTCGCACCAATCAAATGCGATGAAGGCGCATGGGTGTCATGTGAAGACCTGTTAGGTGATAATGCAGTTTGGGAAGACGGTTATCACTACGGCAACATAGATATCGTGACCAAGAAGGCGCGTTTGGAGAAGTACTTCGACCAAAACTATGAGTGTTTCCGCATGACCAAGAGGGTCAGATTCCAAATGTTAGCGGTCCGTGTTCACCCTGATGAACTCAATGAGCCTGATGACCCGATGGAGAAGGGATGGATTAACGAACTCAAGGACATGGGAATCTCTAAAGGAAGACTCCACCATAGCGATGGATGGTGCTTTCCCGTGGCTGTAAGAGCAACCTCGGCACACTCAAGAGACGGCGGAGGTTATGACGTTACCATTGACATCGACCACATTGGGTCGAGAATGACCAACGACATGGCCCTATCTATGGTGACTGCATTTCACGCTACCAATCTCGGAGCGCTGACTTCAATCATGCGACGAGGGCTAGTGCCGGGAGGTCTCGGTTCATCGGGAAGGGATTCTATCCACTTCACATGTTTTCCGCCATGGGCCTGGGAGCAGGGCTACAAGGGTAAACCTTGGCTGGGTCGTAAGGTCGCAATGAGGGATCGCCCAGTGGTTCTCTACATTCCGGTGTGGAAGCTGCAGGAGTACGGACTTCTCATCTCAGCGACTGGGTCTCTATTGGTTGAGAACGTCGTTCCCTTCGATGAGGTTAAAGGGGCATGGTTGCAATGCGACAATGCGGAACCCGGACAGCCTGAGAAGATCGAATGGATCCGGTTACTCAGTGGGGAACCCGACCCTGGAAGCTACCTTGTTCTAGAGTCCAAATACGGAAACCCGATCATGATTCCACGCTTTCAAAAGCTTGAGAGCTTAGCGGTTGAGGTTCAGGACGATACCTACTCCGAGGACGACGCCAAAATCTTAAAGCTGTTGGGTATGATCGAGGAGAGTGGTGTTTACCCAGAGTATGATAACACCGAGTGGCAGGAACTCTTCGAGGAGATCGTGTACCGCCGAGCGATGAAAGACTATGATTCAAGGCCGTGTCCTAACTGTCTTGGCGAAGTCGATGTGCGATTGACGATATGTCCGCACTCCATAGCGGTTTTGATCGCGAATGGGAAGCTCACACATGTGGTACCCAAGGAGACAAGGGACCGCAATCAACGATCACCTCCGAAAGATGTCCCAGCCGGTTCTTCCGGTGAAACAACCTCTGCTGCAGGTGCAAACATCGATGAAGTCATCAAGAACGCACGCAAGACAGCCGAAGAGGTCATTGAGATCGAGGAATCCGAAGGAGAGGAAGAGGAGGAAGTTCCTATCATTTTGAAGGAACGACCGGACGAAGCTGAAGGCGAACCCGAGTATCGGGAGGTCCCTCAAGATGGATACGGGAATGAACTTCCGAAGCCTTTCCCCTTCGCAATTGACGAATTGCCGCAAGAAGCTGCGATCCCCATCGACCACAACTTTGCCGTCACACAGCAATTTGATCTGAGGTTGATGAAGTTGATCAAGGGCTTGGCCAACGCAACGTTCGACATCAACTGCTTTGAGAGTCGTGAAGATGTACTGCGAATGTTCGACGATGGACAGCGGCATGACACTCCGCACAATAGATGGCCAATAGTACCGAAAGATCCGGATACTGGGTTTCCAAGACGTCTCAAGAGAGCCGAGGTCGTAGGCATGAGCAGATGGACCGACGACGTGTTTGCAGCAGAAGCGTGGCAGATCTATGAATTCCACGCCAACGTTGTTCATCCGATGATGATCACTGCAATCCGCTGCGGGCTTAGCCACAAGTACCTCAAAGAGGTCGGCAACACTCAGCGTAGCATGAGTGATCCAAAGGCTCGAAAGTCTGAGACCCAGGATGAGATCATCGAGAAATTGGCATTCATCTCAAATTTCATCAGACGCATGATGAAGAAGACCTTCGGAGCGAGCCGATATAGTTACTACCAGAAACCAGATGACGAAAGTGCCGCTCCATACAAATTCATCGACATTAGTCCCGCCATCAAATCGGAGAGGAAGAATGTCACGAAGGAGATCCTCGTTGCATGCCGCTACTATGGAATAGAGGTATCCGATATCCAAGCAAGGAAATTGAAGTCCTTCGAGGAGCAGATCCGAGCGGGAAATCCAAGGAACGTTGAGCTCATCAAGGACTACATTGGCTTTGTCGGCGCTGACTACATGCGACAACTCACGAATGGTTGAGCATTGGGGTCATACCGACATGCCACTTCCGGTACTTCAAGTACTGAGGGATCTCGGGTAATTCATGATGACCGTTTTGGCATCATGGGAGTGAGATAGGATTGTGTCTCACACCGTTGGTAATCGCATGATACCATAGGTAGGTGCACGTTTTCCGCTTGTAGCTCCATTGCCTGTTTGATCTAACTTTCAAGCGAATGCAAGATCTTTTGCTAATTCAATTCAATAGGACATACTGGTTGACCTCCAATACACTTTTGAGAACGTGATTCGTTCTCCGGTTTTTACATCCACTCATCTCCCTTCCCCGTCGAAGTACGGATGTGGGGGGTGTCAATAGGGATGGGGTCCCAGTATAGTTGCTATACAGGTACATGCCATATACTTTTGGCTCAAGTGCCCAACCAGGTAAAAAGGGGCTTTAGCGCGCGAGCTTCATGTTGACCTAAGAGCTAGAACGGGGCCAGGGCACACCTTTCCATCCGTTCACATATATACTGTGTTGGACATGTTTTGGCAGGGTTTGCTCCCTTCATATGATGAATGATAGTGAGGTTCACGTTCGTTCATGATGGGTGAAACTTGGTGGTTGGGATGTTTGACCCGAAATGCCCATAGACTTGGGCGACGCTTTTAGAGACTAGGCTGGCAAGCTTCCGACATTCAGATTTGGCTTGCGGATTGGTGTGTTACAAGGGAAACGGATGTAAAACGTACCGTGCTTTCATTCGGGCTTCCATCTTGACAGTGCCTTGAGATGGGGTTTGACCTTACTCAGACGGTAGGGATCATTGACTGTTGGTTGCACCAGCCAGAGGCTGTTGTTGCTTGGTGGTTGATCTAAGCAGCCCAGATTATCCATGATCAGGAGTTGGAGCAGGCCTTTTTGCAACAATGAGTCGTCCGTCTTGCCAAATGCCAGGACTTGCATATTTGGGGTACCACAACATGAGAGCCGAGCCGCCAATCATGGCAACCAGGGCCACTGCCCGCACTGCTACGAGGTTTGCACGCTTATTTTGTGCGAGCAGGACAGCCAGCTCATCCCATCATTTACGCCACTTGGATAAGTATCCTTTGCAGATACACTCTGGGTTTGGGTGCCCTGCTGACTGGGTTCAGAAGTCATGAGGCAGTTTTATGTTAGGTGTATATGTACATTTAAAATCAATGTCAGGTAGTAAAGGGAGCATCAGGATGACAGTGGAGTCAATTTTGACTTGCTTCATGATGACAGTGGCAGCGCAGTCTCTTTAGGTATTGGTATTGGTCGTTCATGAACCTAACATCAGCGGCAGAACATGCAAATGGTAAGCAGATGTAAGCAGTGATTCCAGTTTCGTCTTCATGGATGCGCTGCTTCACCCGCTTCGTCTCCACTCAGAAGTCATCCCGTCACCAACGGGGCGAGTCACCCAGGATGTGCGGCGCATCCGGGATGGCAACAGTTTCGCCACCCGATCAGTGGCCGCAAAACAGGAAGGTCAATGGACACTTGGCAATGTGAGGATCCAACGAATGTCAGTGGCCGCAACTGGAGGCTGGTCATCTACAGAAAGTAGAAAATTGATTCGTGGATGGCTTCACAATTGCAAGTGGATTTGCTGTACTTGCGTCTTGCTTTGGGATTGCACGGTTTTTTTTTGCCTCAAAATGGTATGCCCACTCGAACCTGCTGGAGCGGGGAAAGGCATCAAAGCCGTTTGTTGTGGGGATCTCGACGCATTCAGAGTTTGGGGGTGTGCTTGGTCACGTTTGAGCCCTGGGTGCGGCGAAACCAACTTGGATGCCTAGGGCACTTTTTTGTGCTTTTAGAGCCAGGCACAAAAGCAAAATTCTGCATCGGTGATGATTATTTGTGTATGGTTGTGTCATATGACATTTGATGTCAACTTATCATTAGTCCTCATTAGTCATTTTTGGTCTCAGGTTCACTCACTTCAGAAGTTGCCCAGGCAGAAATAGAGCAAACTGAAGTGTTTGACAGGTTCTATCCCACTCCTGTACGGACTTCCTTGGGTGAGGCTGGATGGATCCATTGTTTTGGGCGGGCGCTGGTGGATGGATCCACCTGTTCCAAGCATTGCCTCCAAATGGCCGGATGTGTCTTCAGCATTGGCTCGCTCAAGAAGGAAGTCCTTTAGCTAAGCCCAGCCCTGCAGCTTTTGCCCCCACGTGGCAGAAGAAACCATGATGAGAAGTAAGTCCGTTGCTTTGCCGCTGGCCTTGTTGGTCTTGGCTCTCATCCTGATTTGGCCGTGCCTCGGATTTGGAGAAATGAATCCGCTGTAGCTTTGCAGAGGTTTTCTGTCGTCCGTGACGGTCTTGGGCGCATGGGTCACTTCCAGCACTCGAGGTTAGGTTGGGAGTCTGCAGATTTGACAGCCCTCAAAGCTCAGTTTGTTGCTCTGATTCATTAGTTGGATATGGACTCAGAATATGTGATTGATCACCACTCAAAGCTGTACAGACACCACACTTGATCCTCGGAGCTTGAAGAAAGAGATCCAGTATTATGTTATTTACGTATTCTCTTGATAGATGATGGTAGATGAAAGATTTCGGGACCTTTCACCCCCAAACCAAGTTCTCAGAACACACGTCCCCAAAACGTGGGTCCCTTACCGGCCGCCATTCGTCTGGTGATTTCGCCTGCTGCGGTAGCAGGTCCACCTTCTCAGCTGCTCCAGTGGCTGAGAGCCCCGAACTCTTGAAAGTGTTGCGTCCCCTTTGCGCGGCTGGGTTGGCCTCAGCCGCGGTGCTGGGCGCGGGCGTCAGATGGTGGCAGGGCGGGGCCAATGTTAAGCTCGAAAGCGAGACTGGGCATAGATGAAGGGGTGCAGGGGTGACGGGCAACGTGTCAAGAATATGATACTTCCAGAAATGATATCAATCATATACTGTATCCACAAATCAGATCAAATCGGCACGTATAGACTGCAAAACTGCATTGATGGGTTTGACATAGTTTGACTTTGTTTGACTGGTTGGTGCTGGAAACCATTGGGTTTATATATATATAATATATACATTGATGTTGCCATTATTCAACAAGCTCTCAAGCAGGTACAGGATCAAGATTGTATTTTAGGGCTTGTTGGTTTGGCGTAGAACTCTTTGCGAACATTGGGCAACTGAGTCTGTTGCCTGCCACGTGTTAAACATGTTGTCGTAGGGGCCAACAATAACATGCAATTGACCCATATTGATCCACATTGCCCGTGTCGGTCCGCAACAGCCAAACCTTGGTTTTGATTTGTTCATGGTTGCCACCAGCCGCCAGCCAGCTGTCATATGTGTATGTTATGCTTTCAACATTGCACATGCAGACACCTATTTTGGCCATCATAGATGCTTTCCGTGCCTCTATGGTGCTCCAAATCATTGGTGGATCCTTGCCTCATCGTCCACGCGTTTACTGTATTATACCTTGCTACCATCATGGACTGATGCAGCAGCTAGCTGACTTTCAACAATCCCAGTCCAGCAAGTAGTTTCTCTTATCTCTCATCATCCGTTGCTAGCGGCCTAACTCCCAGATAAGGAAACTAATACATTACTGTATTGGGCGAACTTGTTCTCCGTCACCTGGGAAACCCACCACGTGAGAAAACACGGAGCCCTGATGAGCCATGCTTCGCATCCGGTTTCGTAGAAAGGTCCCATCCGACATCGGAGCCAACTGAAGGACCCCAGCGATCTCAGCCTCAAGAAGCTCAGCACCATGTAGCTTGATTGCTCCGGTGGGTGTGGGAAAGCCCCATGCAGCTACTAAACCGTTGCTGAAAGATCTGAAAGGGCTCATAAATCCAGATATCGGTTGTTACACCTTTACACCCAAACGAGGCAAGTCATTGACGCTTGCGATGTTTACAACACAGCCCGTTAACTTCATGGTGCTGGATTTGGGCATCTTTTGGTCACAGCAGCAAGTTGATGGTGGTGGAACACCAAATCCCCATGTGGCCTGTGAAAAGCCTCCAGAGGTTGAGTAGATGGATGGCTACAGCCTTCTGGAGTTGGTTGCTCTGACATCATTGAAATGAAGTTTCCCAATATCTTGGGTTGATGAACCGGTCGAATAGCCGGTGTCAAGGGCGCGAGTTGCAAGTGACTCCACTTGTGGTCATGGCTCATAAACCTTGTGTGGTGTATGTATATATATATATAGCGGGGCAAAACAAAGTGTTTGGGCCAACTCGAGTCACTTGAAAAAGAGAGACGTACTGCAGATGCTTGTCGGGACTGCTGCTGTCAGTGTCAGTCACTGTTTCAGGTTCTGCAATCTCTTCGCCGTGTGGCTAGCCGTGGTAGCGTTTGCTGCGCTGAACCAGCCAGCTACTGGAACTGGATTTTGGAGGGCTAAAGAGCTACCACAATTAGAAAAGACAACGACCAGAGTCAGAGTTGTTTTGAAGATTGTTTCCAACTACTCAGGGTGCTTTCGCAGTTTTTGTGTTACTCCTTGGGGGAAACCAATGCCGATCCAGCTCAGATTGCCGGAATCTAGCGCCTAATTTGGGTCCTGGACCGGGGATACTTTGACTGGTTGGCCCTTCATCGACCCCAGAAACGAATCTCCCAGGCCACAGGCCTAGGAGGTTCACATGGAGCAGTTGAAGCTTGGCTCCTAGAGTTCTAAAGGAAAATCACCTGACGAAATCAACATGATGAATCATGTAGACTCTTGATTAGTAATTACCCCTCTGGTCGAATCCATGAGACTCCTGATTATTGATTGATTCTGAAAAAATCAAGAGGAAAGCAACAGGAATTAAACGTAAATTATCAAAAGGACATCAAAAGGAATCAAAACAAATTACGGTAAAAGGATATCAAAAGGAATTAAAAGGAATTAAAAGGCAATCAAAAGAGGTCAACAAAACAAACACAATAAAACACAATACAAATGTGTAAATAAGCACAATTACTTCTGTTCAAACAGGTGCATACATTAATCTGGGAGGGGTTATTGATCGACAAAAAAAATGTGTAGGCATTATTCTGGGTGGGAGGGGTAACTAATCAAGAATCAACATTAAACATTACATGATATATGTTCATTGTTTTGTTTTTCTTGTGTTTGATTCAGCAAAACTGATCGTGTTTGTGGCGGATCAGCAACACATCATCTCAGCAGCATCTAAGAATCCACCCACTCATTTTGGACTTGAATCATGTGTCCTAATGCCGGATCCAAGGTGGGATGATTCTGACAGAAGGTAATGATCAGGTCATGGCAAACCCCATCGTCATGAGAGCCGCTACATAGCTTCGTGAGGGTCCTCAAGACCAGTTGGTTTTCTCACGCCTTCCACGTCCTTCAGCAAGGCTACGTTCACATGGGTCAAGTCCAAGTATTTTACCACTTTGCTGCTTGGCACCGAACTCTGCGGATGTGAGGACGCCGTGGCCATGGCAACAATTTTGCGACAGTCTGTGAAAACGGTTGTGACAGGTTTGCTTTGCAGACTGCGTCCTTCTTACTCAAGCAGACCTTGGGTGATCCAAGCATGAGAGTCCCCCATGCATCCAACTCACATGGTAATTAGTACTCCCACACACACCAAAGACCTCTTAGGAAGTGTTCCTGTTTTGTTTTGTTCTTCCTTGACCCCTTGATTTGGTGTGTATATATATATATAGAGTGGAATCCTGCAGTCAAAGACTCAAAAGATGTGCTGTGATGTGCCGTGATATCATTTGACTTGTGTTGGTGTCCGACTGCTTGGAAGAGTTTGCCGCTTTTATGCTGCAACAGCATCATAGCTAGTGGGGTGGTTCGCTGCATGCTTTCCATACCAACCTCATACCAGCCGTTTTTGCGATGTCCCATGTGGTGCCTGGGTTGGAAATTGGATGTTTGGTGACACAAGTCTTCCTCCCGAGTCCCAGGTTGGGACTTCTCATGTTCTCAGTTGGCATCACCACCACCATCAGCGACTTCAAGGAGTGCCTGAAACGCCCCGGTGCTGTAGCCACTTGGAGCTGGATCGTTTTGGGTGCCGAGACGCAAGGTTATCCAAGCGGTTCGAGCCGAGCACTCGCCTTAGACTAAATAGACCGGGGCCACCTGTCGTTGGGGAGATAGGGATGTCGCAGGGTTGAACTGGAATTCAGGCTTGCGAGTGCTGGCAATGGTGATTGCTTGTGACCCTGTACTGCATGTCACACATGTTTTCACTTGTTGTGTCATATGTTCATGCACATATATATATATAAGATTAAAAGCATGTTTGTTTAAAAAAAAGTTATTCTTTTTGTTGCGCGAGTGTTCGGCCGGCCTACCTTGCGCGAGATTGCGTTAAAACGTCTATTTGAGTCCATAGTGGCTTCGTCAATGCAGGAGAACATGGAGCAACTATCCCGAAGAGACCATCCATGTGCTTCTTCTACGTTCTAGATTCTAGCTATTAGCCAGAACGAACCTCAGGATGGCTATAATTGACTGTGTTTGTTGACCAATTCATGTCAGCAGCTGCTATATATATATATATTCATCCTTTTTTCTTGCTAGACGGCGCTGAATCTTCTATTCTAGCATTGGTTGATGTCGCTTAACTTGAACGCCAACATGGCCAACACTCCACCAGTAACAGTACCATTATGTAATGGATGACATATGAAGACAACTTGCACCAGCTAGCAGCAGAGACAAAGCACTTCGACAATCAGATGTTCTACCTGAGCTGGTTCAGGATTTCTTCCTGCAAGCTACTCCTAGATATGCAAAGATCTAAAGAGACTTCGCTCTTGCGGGTGATCCGGACGAAGCGGCGAAGGCCATTAACTTCATCTCTTGCTATGCCATCACTCCACTCCTGGCCTATTTGTTGGCCAAAGCCATTGGTGCCGATGGCCCCATCCTCGCAGGCTGGGATGTTGGGCGACCATCCGAGAATGGCCGCGTTCCTTCGTGTGTTCCTTTGCGTTCCTTTCTCAGTTGAACCCTCAAGCTCCAAAATCATAGCCGTGCCTACACATCCTACACTCAAATTTACAAAGGATTGCTAGAGCCCAACGAATCCCCCCAAAAAGGAACTGGGAGGGTGTGACATGATGGACCAAACCCCAACCCCATGGGGTGCTCTTCTGCCAGGACTCGTGCTGGTTGGATCCATCAACGGCGGCCAAGCTTCGTAGCCTGTCCAAACCGTGGCGATCGGTCAGAGTCTGGATGGAGGCCTCCCAGTTCGACCCCCTGCAAAAAGGGATAGATCAAAACCCGTTGGCAACAGGTGGCTTCCTTGAACCAAATGCGCACCCACATCACATATCAATACTGTAACCGATATATTGCATCGCACACTAATTCAACCGATAAGTTAGACGTGTCACATCAACTCTGATCTACTTCAGAGACAATGGAAGTGGAATAGAAGTAGAACAAGAAGACCTGAACAGATCACATCGCATCTGCACGTTTTGCATCGTTTCATATGATTTATCGTTGTTTTTTTTTTTGTGCAGATTTTGAATGCATGTATATATATATACACACACTATACACAACCAAAATATAAACGCCACAAAAAAAGCAAGATATATACTGTCGCAATCATGATGTGTGTACATTTTGCTGTATTTATTGTTTGTGCGTTTGTGTGTACATGTTTGTTTAAATCCCCAAAGTGCATGTGTTTTGTTTGCTGTATTTCTGGTTCCTATTCCTTTCGTATTTGTTCATTTCAGCAATGCTCAAGAAACAGCAAACTTGAGAGGGTTGTATGTCTCAATGCTAGGGGTCCAGAGTTAGAAAAGGCAGACTGAAAGAACAGCTTGATGAAATGGCACCCGGTTTTGTCCTCACACTTGCATTGAGGTTACAGTAGGTTATTTCCGTAGATGCTTGCAGAAGCTCCCAGTATCGATCGCAAGATTTCTTGCGCCCTTGGGCCCTTCGTTCTTTGGTGCTGGGGTCCAACTTTCTTTATGGAAAACGGCATTGGATGCCTTGGTCGGTCGCTACCTCGCGCCTCGCACCGAAATCTGTTCGAGCACGAAAAACGAAAGCTCAGCGGTGCGAAGAACGACCTGAGGAATTTGTGCACCTTGATTGCTGGTGGAGACGTGGCTTTGAGCGCATCTCGGCCTTTGAGGCGTTGGATGAGATTTGAGACGTGGGGGGGGGGGTTCCAATCGTGACCTTTGAACACAAGTGACGTTGTTGACAGGCAAGCCACACTGACTGAACGAGTTTGCAGGCTTAAACGAACAATAACTGCAATGGAGAGATCTCAGAAGCATCATAAGTATTCACTTGAGAGGCTTTGCGATGGCTTTGGGCGCCCAGCGCATGTTTGTTCAAATGGACGCCAATCCGCCAACCCATGTGCAAACCAAGATTCCCACTCACAAATGTCAAGTCTTTCATTGGGTGAACTGAAATGGGAATAACTGGGATGTATCCCCCGGCCCGGTAACAGCATGTAACAGTAGCAAATTCAGAATAGCATAGCATAGCATAGCATATTTTTGAAATTTGCACGACTCTAGCTCAGTAGTTAGACACTTGCAGAATGATCCCGTCCAACATGCCATATGAGACCCCATGTGTATATATATATATATTGTAGTTATATATATGCCTAGTATTACATAGTTGTTTGTACAAATACAAGTCTCATCATGCATGTGTGCATGTCTATGTCTTATATATATCTTATGCATTGACAAAAACATAGAACATCTATGTTCTCACATCGAGGTTTTGATGACAACGTCGACGACGTTGGGATGCATTTTTATGACTCCCTTGATTTGTCACTTGGTGCTGGGCGCTGTGGTCCCAGTCGATGCTGGAGGCGGGACGTCCCGACAGTCCCGACTGGAACGTGGCCGATCCTTTGCACTGAAAGTTTGGTCGCTGATGGAATGCTGGGATGGCATTTGGGATTAAATATGGTATATATCTACAACTCATCCTGATTCCTATATCCTACTATATCTTCCGCTGACCTGGGCACCTGGGGTCAGAACATCACCCCTTTCGGACCTGCCATCGGGAGAGCGATGGCTCGAGAGCGCTGACTGTGAGGCATCGTATTGTCGACCTTCCAAGTAGTCCTGCTACCCATTTTTCTGGGCCGCTGGGACATGTTTCAGCGCGGGTCCATCGCGCGCGTTGTTGGCAGCGCGGGTCCAACGCACGTGATTCGTGGCCCGCATCAATCTCTTCAAAGCAAATATTGCCACTGTCATGCCGCACGGAGACCCAGCGAGAGTAGCATTTGGAGACCCATGGAGATTTGGGCGCAGAGGTCACAAGATAAACATGCGTTCACCATGCCATTCATTCGCTTCAGCTCAGAGTTCCAGCAACCTTGAGACCATGCTCCAAGCCACTTCGGGCCATTGCTCGGTGGACGCTGCTACGGGTGCATTTTCTGAGAAACACCCCGTGTTGATGAGGTCAAAGAGGCGTCTTGGGGCGTATATAGCAATAAGAAGAACCCCCAAAGGACCCTCGACACGAATAGGACCAAAAGATGACCAGACCAAGCCCATTTGGTGTTTTGGGGGAAGGGTCTCTTATAGTCTAACACACACTCTAAAATATGCAGTGTGTATATATATATTTATATATTTGTATACATACGTTGTACGTATTTAAATATATATGTATATAGAGAGAGATAAATTATATCATCCCCTGGAAACTGTATATCGAAGACGTCTTTTTGGAAGCTTCACGAAGCTTCGTATTCAGCGAACGGGTTCACTTCGTTTGGTGAAAAAAACAGATGCCTTGGATGAACCGAGTGACCCCAGTTCTGGACCCAGCATGTGGCCTGCCTTATCAGAACAGAAGCTTTTTGGGGGTTGATTGCCTAGTTTGATTTATATTTAACCAACCTCGGTTTGTAATGGTTATAGCAGGTTCTTGCACAATTGCCAGTCTTGACAGTCTTAAAGGTCATCCCCAGTCAAATTGGTCCAACATGGTCAGACCAGTGCCCTTGCAGGCAAACTGACCCAGCCAGATTGAAGATTGGCCACGATTGGCCGCAAGATGTTCCTCACCATCCGAGCATTTGGAGGGTTTGGACTCCAAGCAACTCGCCCAGGTGTGGGCTTAAACACCCTGGTGCCCAAGATGTGCAAGGCTTGAGCGGATGGGAGGAGCTGGACTGGTGGAGAATGCATTCTGTGGAAAATGAGGTCCTGAGAAGACTTTTTCTCTATATCATGTATTTATATATATATAATATAAACACATAATAAATAATAAAAGAAATATATATACTAAGTGGATTTGATTTGTTGCACTTCCATGCTTGTTTCTGGGAGTGTTGGGTACAATAACTTTTTGGAGAATGGCATCCAAGTGTAACATGGCCCTTTAGTTGCGGGTATTCCTCAAAAGACGCACGGCATGGATATTAGGGAGAGAATGTCGGAAACATCTCAAGTTGGAAGGGGTGGGCCCTTCTTCAAACCATATGTTCTTCGCATGTCTCCGTTCCATGCGGGACACCCACTGGGTGTAGATCGATTCTCCTTAAATGTGTCACGTGCACCCGATTCAGTCCATCCGCCCCTTCCACACGTCCGACAGAGTCGCTGTGTCCACGTTGTGAGGCCCGGACCTGGTGACTTGTGACTCATGAGGCGCATGAGGTTCCTGCGCGTTTCTCGGGTACCCCGCAGATCACCGCTTCAGGCAGTGGCGCCATTTACTCCTGCAGCTGGCCATGAAGGGAATCGGATGCGGTTGGTGTTCTTTTGCCAAGGGGGATTCGGAAGGACACAGCAAAGGCAATTTGTAGTGGTACTGAGTTAACTTCTTGCATATTGAGTTATATGTTCTATGTATTCCACTCCTGCCAGGTCAGATCAAGTCAGAGAGGAGCACTAGCTGTCACTAGCTTCCAGCCACAGCCCTTGTAGGCAAGACCATTACCGAATTCCATGATTCTGACATTTCACACAGCTCTACAGTAATTAACATATTCTGATATTTGACATGGTGCCAGCTTGCACCGCTGGCTCCAAGTAGGGTGAGCCAGGCATCCCAAATAAAGAACAGAAGATCGAGAAGTTGCATCTTCCACGGGCTGTCGTCAAATATGTCAGATGTTTTTTAAAGCTTATATAAAAGGCCCTTTGGACATGTCATCAACCATCCCACCACCTGCTGTGCTTGGTTGATTTACCATGTGCACATTGTCCCACGGCAAGGTGTGCTTTCGGTCTCAAAAACTGGTACTGGAACACTTTCCCCTTCAGGATTCACCCAACCCCGAAGAAAGCCACCAAACAAGCAGACTTCGACCAGCTCGAAAAACACCCTGACCCGGACCCCTCCGGACCCTACCTGGCAGCCGAACCGGCGCCGAACCGCAGGTGGTGGGCGTCATCTCCACGGTCCTCTTGGTCGGTGCCTCCGTGGCGAAGTGCGCCGAGCCGATCCACTCAGCCGGACTTCCGCTGCAGCCACTGGGATGGACGACCGGCCCGTTGGAACCCGGGGGGAAAAGTGGGTCCCTGTATAGGGGTAATTAGTAGGGTAGTAGTATAGGGTAGTAGTAGTAGTAGTAGTAGTAGTAGTTACTTAGTAGTAGTAGTAGTAGTCGTAGTCGTAGTCGTAGTCGTAGTCGTAGTCGTAGTCGTAGTAGTAGTAGTAGTAGTAGTGGTAGTGGTAGTGGTAGTGGTAGTGGTAGTGGTAGTAGTAGTAGTAGTAGTAGTATTAGGTACTGTAGTAGGCAGTAGGTAGTAGGGTAGTAGGGTAGTAGTTTGTTTTGTATTTTGTTGTTCCTCCTTGAGGATTGTAATGCCAGCAGTCTCCTGCAGCCTTTGGTGTGAAACGCGCGAACAGGTGCCCAGAAGCCTGATGCGCTTCCAGAACACCTGTGGGGAATTGTGGACGGGTCATTTGCTGCATCTCTAGGGCTGAAGGGTGAATGGGATTGTTCAAACAGCCAAGCTCAACAGGCTGTTTGCATGTCCTCCTTTTTTGTGGTTCATTCGCACCAATAAGTGGACAACGTATTCCCACATATTCCAACCATTGCAGCAATACATAAATATCAACTCCAACATGTTCATTGAATTTTGGTGGTTCCCGCTCTCACTCAGACGATTTCGGCATCCCTGGTCCAAGACCATGGCTACGGTCCAGTAAGTCTTAGAGAAGTGTGATGACCTTGAGGTTCACCAGGCAAAAGGGCAACTCTAGTCTGGATCGGGGCTCTTGAGCGCCTGCCGCATGAGGCTGGCCTGTGCTGCTTTGCATCTCGTGGGCGGCGTGCTGGGCTACTTTGCCACCCAGATGAGTGGCTTTGACGAGAAGACCTGCCGCACCGTGGCCATTGCGTCTTGGTGCAACGACCTGATTTGGGTGACGACGATTCAACCAGCCACAGAGGTCTGGCATTTCTGGGGTTCTGGATTCTGGTTTGGCCAATTAGTACAAGTAGCATATGGCGGAGCCTACGTCCAACATCTCAAATTTGCAAATTTGGGATGCTTTACTCCGCCCAGTTCCGACCAGTTACCAAGTCGCACAGACCCCGCGTTCAATGCAATCCAATGCTTCCACAATAAACGCGTGTGTGCACACACTGACACCCGTGGGCACCCGTCAGCAAGCGTTTGTTGCAATGACCGGCATCCACTTTTGATGGCTGCTTAGTACTTCTCCAGCCTGTCGAAGTCGGCTTGTACTCATCAGGAAACCGCGATGAAATCCAGAGACTTAGCAGCAGATGGATGAATTCGTAGCACAGAAACAAAAGACACCCAGTTGAAGATACATTTAAAACATTTAAGGTTATAGATATATTAAGGAAACTGTGGCCAGCGACATCAGTTTGGCATCATCTACAACTTACGTAGATCCAGTTGTGCCGGGGTGCGCATTTTTCACTTTCAGGTGTTACCGTACTTCCACACCTCAGTCGTACTTGCATGTGCATCCGGTATACCGGACGGTGCTTGCAACTCCTCGTCGTCAGGTGCTTTCGGCTTCCTTTTGGCTTCGCTTCACTTTGGTGCCTTCAATGTCAGGGTTCCCTCTGCGGTGAGCGTGGTTTGGATGGCCATCGTCGGAAGCGTGCTGGCGGTCTATTGGAAGGGCCGGCCACGTGACTGAAGATGGGAGATTTGGGAGGTGGGGCTGCTGCTTTGGCCCGTTCCAAACCAGCAGGATCAGGCGGCTTTTGTTTTTCCCTGGAACAGATTTTTGTTTAGACATCTCGATTTGGATTAGGTAATGCAGGAGGTAGAGCTGGAAACACCAAACCCAGCTTTGGTCGTGACATATCGAGACCTATCATCTATACATAATTCGGGATTCATCCATGAAGCGAATTCAAACCCCCATTCTTCTACTGGACATCAGCGCTTTGTCCCAGGCCCATCACTTCGAGCAAGACACGTTGAGGACGGGCAGCACAGGTCGACCCAACGGATGACGAATCCAAACAGCTGCCCGTTTGGCCTCGCAATGGGTGTTTTTTCTCAGTCATGCATGCCAAAATTGGGGGTTCCAGTTTCTCGTCAACGATGGGTGGCGTTGTGTTGGGGGC